TTGCATGCTGTGGCATGTGCACCCACACATACACACCAAACACACATGTCCACACACATGTGCACAGGCAAACCCACACTGATTGTTTTATTAAAGGAAGGTCTTCATGTACTCTTGCTGAGGATATAACATAATTAATATGGGTGAAATTATTCAGTAACTTGTCCTGGACTAAGGAGAGATGCATTTCACTGTACAAATAAATACAACACTTACCTAGTGTATACTTCAATTGTGTGTGTGTGTGTGTGTGTGTGTGTGTGTGTGTGGTGTGGTTTGTGTGTGTGTATGGGGTGTAGTCCTAGGAGTTGAACCTAGAACATCATGCATGCTAGGTAAGTGCTCTGCCACTGAGCTATCCAGGACATATTTTTACTATTTTAAAATTATTATTATTATTATTGCATGTGTTTACATGTGCATGATTCAGGCACACATGAGCATGTATGGCCTAGGATGACCTTGATGTTTTTGGACCTCTTGTCTGGGCCTTCAAGTAACTGGGCTACTCGGCCCTTGGCACCAGATGAGCCAGAAAATGATTTGTGAAAGTAGCTGAGTGTTCTGCATTTCTAGAAGATCACACACAGTGATGATGGCCCCCATTCAACACACAGGCACTGATGGTCTTCATACCAAGCCTATGAAATCCATCACACACAGTGGTGATGGCCTTCACACCAAGCCCATGAGATTTGTAACACACAGTGATGATGGCCCCCATTCGTCACACACAGGCACTGATGGCCTTCATACCAAGCCGATGAGATTTATAATACATAGTGATGATGGCTCTCACACTAAGCCCATGAGCTCAATCACTCCCAGGCACTGATAGTCTTCACAACAAGCCCTTGAGATCTGTCACACACGGGTACTGAACCCACGGGCATAGCTCACCCAGAGGGCACAGATTACCTTTATACATATTTTTTCCAATCTATGAAATCTTTCTTTGATTTTCAGGATAGCTTTCAATGTCTGATAAAAAAATTATGAGTACCCTTTCATAAAATATTTTTGAGTTTGGATATAGTAACAGTGTCTTGTGGCAAAATCATAAAAGGTATTGATTTGATTTATTGTCCTCTCACAGAGGGCTGTATAGAGGCTTACTAAATATGTTTGTATAGGGCTAGTAAAATTTAATTTTGTGTACAGTGCTGAACTTGACTGGATTTCAGTACTGAAGGGAGGTGTCTTGTAAGCAAAGAATGAACTCTCACAACAAGCTACTCTTGAGCCACTATTCATCACCAACAGCGTTTTTATTGAGTCCTTGCTGCGCACATCATCGCGTTAGATCATTTCCTATGTTGAAAGTTTTCTTTCTGCAGTTTTTGTACTTCGAAAGGTATAAACTGCTAAAACAAATTCTGGTATTATTGCCGTAAGTAAGTGTGTTATAGGTGTATTAGGGCTTGCTTTGCGTCTATGGATCACAAATGCACAATTAGGTGGATTGGAGAGAGGCGTGCAGTTCTGCCTCATCCGTCTAGATGCAGGTACTTTTGTCTGGAAAGTTCCCGAAGATCACTTTCTAATCAGTTCCTCTTTGCTCTCAAAGGACCATTGTTCGGGTTTCCTTCCTGTGTGCCCTCCCTGTGTGCCTTCTCTTACTCGGCACCTGCTCCAGAGTCATTCCCTCCTGCGTGCCAGCATTAATTCTTGTGACTGTTGGTCAATGTCGGGCGGCAAGCAGTAGGCAAATTTGCTTTATCCCATGGATGTTTTCCTGGCTGACTACTCAGACAGGATCTGGAAACAGTTCTTTCACAACCTCTGCTTGCTTTCATTTAAGCCTTACTATCTGAGGGCATTTGGTGGCTCACACTCATGCATTTGGTGGAGAGGCTAAGGCAGGAGGATTGCAATGAGTTCAAGGTCAACCTGGGCTACATAATGAGCTTCCAGAGGACCCCGGGTTGGCCTGGGTTTGGTTTTCAGTACTCATATTGGATGGATCTCGACTACCCGTAATTCCGGTTCTGGGGGAATCCAACAGTCTTCTGGCCTTTGAAGGCACTTGAGCACCGGTGACACACACACATATGCACATGCATGAAATAATAAAAGTAAATCTTAAACAAAATTACCTCTCAAACCATTTTTTTTTTTTGAAGTACAAACCTTGCCTGGCATGAGCTGGGTGTGTAGCTGTCTGATAGGTGCTTTTTCCAACAGACAACAAGACCTGGGCTTGATTACATCACCTCAGTGAGCAAGGCTGTAATTCCAGCACTCTTCAGCAGAAGCAGGAAGATCAGGAACTCGGTGTTAATCTTTGCAACACAAGAGATCCTAGGCCCGGTGACATGGTTGCCTATCTCTTGCTTGCCTGTGAAAGCCCTAGTTTCAAAAACCCAAAATAAACCAAACAAAGCAGCAGCAGTAACAGTGGAAGGGAGTACCCCACTTTAGTTATAAACTGCATGGGGCTGCATTTACATAATGGTTACAAGAACTGATGTTTCCAGCTGACCCTCTGCTGGACAGGGATAACCACCACTTTACCCAGGTGTTTTTGACAAATATCAAGGGCTCAGGAAGAAGCTGGAATGAGGAGTCACTCTGCTCCTGGTAATTAATGTTGCTAGATTGTAAGGGACAATGGAATGTGTGAGGCAAGAGGAGCCCTTGTGCCAGAGGCCAGACCTGACTAATTAGAAGGAAGCCAGAGCCTGGGGCTTGACCAAGTCGTTTTACCCTCCTGCTCTGGCAGGGGCGCGAGGGTCAGAAAAGAAGGGGGGAAGCCTGGCCAAGAGACAAACCGCTGTAAGTTCCTGAAGTCTCAGCTTACCCAGGGATGACCCAGGCCGTCCTTGTGTCCTTGTCCTAGCCTTGTCGTCCTTCACCCCACCCCCCACCCCCTACCCCCAGGGCTGAGAGCTTCACCTTTTTCCCCCCTTGTTGCTTCCCAGCAGGAATGTGAGCGAAGTTCAGAAAGAATAGGAGATCACAGCAGGGCTCCTGAGTCACAGGTTGAAAGCAGAGCCCAAGGAAACCAGATCTTCCCTCCATATGGTGATAAGGGGCTCAAAATGCCAACATGATAAAAAAGAGATAAATATACAAGCTGTGCACTGCACCCAAAAATATCAGGCTGGTGCCACAGGCTGTCTGGTGAGGTGCTTTGGATTGGATGATCTGGGGGAGGAGGGGGAGGCATCTACTTTTCACTTATTCAATTTGTCCTTTGTGAGATCTACTCTTTTTAAGTGCCAAGCTGCTATGAAAGGTTCCATCACTCCAGTGACATGGTTGCCTATCTCGTGCTCGCAAGTTGCCTGCTCAGTCACTGCACAGATCAACACCTGTCTCATATTTCCGGAGTCTTTGTTCAGTGTGTCTTCTGGCCCGTCCCCTGGACTGCTGCCTAATGGCCCCGCAGGGTGGGGCTCAGAGCTTCTCTGGCTACACGCTGACAGGTGAGTCCTCACAGCAGCTAGGCCTCACCCCCAACTCTCTTCTCTTCCCAGGGACTGTGGAGGGGAGGGAAAAAGAGGGGGCCAATGCCACTCCTTTCCTCAGTAGAGAGTTTTGACCTCTGAGGTACCCGTGTTTTTTAGAGTATAGTGTATACTATATGTCATTGGTGAGATATAATTTAATAAAATGAAAACAAAACAAAAACAACTAAAAGAACAAGGCCACCTTGCCTTCATTTGACTGTTGTAAATAGTACTGCAACTATTAGTAGAGATTTGGTCAGCTTCTCTTACTGAATCATATTAAATCAGACAATAAAATGGCAGTAATGTGGCACTTAGGAGACTGAGGCAGAATTGTAGAAACTTTGCTACGTAGAGGATTCAGAAGCCAACCCTGGGTTACAGCGTGATACCCCATTCCAAATGCTCGTGTGTGCACACATACACACACACACACACACACATGAGCACATGCACACGCACACACTACCACCACAGTACACAATTGAAACTATTGTTTGTATTATTTCATGGACTCAAAATCCTATTAGTGTTGAGACTATTAGGAATCACAATTTTCACGGTTAGAAAAAGAAAGATAAATGTATATTAAAAGTAGGTTTTGTGGGGGAACTGGAGAACTGACTTGGTGGTTAAGAGCACTTGCTGCTCTTGCAGAGAACTCACCTTGCGGAGCCCACAACCACTTGGAACTCCAGTTCCAGGGGATCTGACACTGTCTTCTGTCTTGCACAAACATGGTACATATATATAGATTCAGGCATGCACATCTAAAATAAACCAAATAAACGTTTAGGAGACAAGTAGGTTTAAACCTTGGAGAACTCACTGGCAGTAGGTGTGCTGTAGATAATGCTGTAGTAGGATCATCATATGCAAAAGTGAGGTTGCTGGTCATTGGCCAATAGAGGAGAATTGGCTGTCAAAAAAGAATAGAAATGATAACATGGTATGTACTCACTCATATAGAAAAAAGGATTATCCATACAATCCATACCTCCAGAGAAGCTAGGAAACAAGGAGGACGCTAAGAGAGACATACATGGTCCCTGGGAGAAGGGAAAAGGGACAAGATCTTCTGAGCTAATTGGGAGCATGGTGGGGGGGAGAGGGAGTTAGGAAAAAGAGAAGGGGAGAAGAGGAGGGGAGAGGAGGACATGAGGGAGCAGGAAGATCGATCGGGTCAGGGTAAGAATACAGGAGAGCAAGAAAAGAGATACCGTAATAGAGGGAGCCATTATAGGTTTAAGGAGAAATCCGGCACTAGGGAAATGTCCAGAGATCTACAAGGATGCTCCCAACTAGCAATCTAACCAATAGTGGAGAGGCTGCCTTAAATGCCCTTCTCAATAATGAAATTGATAACTGCCTTATATGCCATCCTAGAGTCTTCATCCAGTAGCTGATGGAAGCAGAAGCAGACACCTACAGCTAAAATCTGAGGTGAATTCCTGGAATCCAGTTGCAGAGAGGGAGGAGTGATGAGCCAAGGGGTCAAGACCAGGCTGGAGAAACCCAAAGAAACAGCTGACCTGAACAAGAGGGAGTTCATGGACCCCAGACTGATAGCTGGGAAACCAGCATAGGACGGATCCAGATCCCTTGAACGTGGGTATCAGTTAGGACTGGGCAATCTATGAGGCCTCTGGTAGAGGATCAGTATTTATTCCCAGTATATGAATGGACTTTGGGAACCCATTCCGCATAGAGAAATGCTCTCTCAGTCTAGATACACAGGGGAGGGCCTAGGACCTGTTCCAAATGATATGACAGACTTTGAAGATCCTGGAACTGGAATGTAAAAAATTGATAAAAAAAAAAAATGAACAGCAAGCCGGGCGTTGGTGGCACACGCCTTTAATCCCAGCACTCGGGAGGCAGAGGCAGGAGGATCTCTGTGAGTTCGAGACCAGCCTGGTCTACAAGAGCTAGTTCCAGGACAGCCTCCAAAGCCACAGAGAAACCCTGTCTCGAAAAAACCAAAAAAAAAAAAAAAAAAAAAAGAACAGCAACAAAGCAGTCATGAGGCCACCCACCAGCAAGCATGATCCTAGCATTGCTAAGAGCAGCTCAAAAAGGTGTGTTGGATTTCCAATGTGAAGGGCCGCAGAGAGCATTCATGCCCCAAATATTTGCCCTATTCCTTTTTTTAAATTGAAAACAGATTTTATTTCATATAATAATATTCTGATTATGGTTTCATCTCTCCCAGCTCTTCCAATCCACTCAAATCCGTACCCTTTCTTTTTCTTTCTCATTAGAATACAAACAGGCACCTACAGAAATACTACTATAAAATAAGAACATAAAAACAAAAAAGCTGAAATGGGATGAAGCAAACAAACTACCAGGAGAAAAGGAACCAAAGAAAAATCTCAAGAAACTGTTAATCCCATTGAACGAGAGTAAAGACCATTACCCAAATTCTTTTAGTTGAATCAAGCAAGCTTTATTTTCTCTCAGGCAGGGTTATCTCCCTAAAGCAGGATTTGAGAAAACAGTATAAAACACAGGAGAAGGTGGGGTTTATATATCTCCTCAAAACCCCAAAGGTTGGGGAATCTCCAGAGGAACTTTGGTTATGTAGGAACTTGGCTGAACATTTCAAAATTATTTGGCAGAGTTATCTTATTTTACCAGAGCAGAGGTTAGGGTATAAGGTATGGAGCGTGCCAATTCCAAAAAATGGATAAAGACCTGGTCAAATCCAAGTTTTACGGAAAGCAGAAATGAACCTTGTAACAAGATGTTTTTAATCTTAAAATGGGGTCAGGTTGACCCATCAAAACAAATATAGATACAGAGACACACATATTCACGAATACAGGAACCCTATAACATACACACAAAAGATCAGTAAGGAGAGGGGATATAGGAAAAAAGATGTCTAGACAAACCCTTATAAGACAAAGAATCTCCAAAAATGCCACTGAGTTTGCTTTGTGTTGGTCATCTGCTTCTGGTAATGGGTCCTGCCCTTAAGAACGGTTTGTGTATCTATTGGAGAAAACTAATGTTTCCTTTGTGAGTAGTCATCATTTGGAAATAGCTTTTGAGGTAGGGATGGGAGTTTGTGTCCACTTCTCTCAGCACTGGGACCCCATCTGGCTTAGACCCACGCAGGCACGGTGCATACTGCCTCCGTCTCTGTGAGTTCACACGTGTGTCAGCTCTGCTGTGTTTAGAAGGCCCGTTTCCTTGGTATCCTCCATCCCCTCTGGGTCTCACATCCCCCCTCCCTCTCCACCATTGCCCCTGAGCTCTGAGGGGAGGGATTTGACGGAGACGCGGCCGGCCATTTCAGACTGAGTGTTTCGAGGTCTCGCACTCTCTGCACATTGTCCAACTGTGGATCTCTGTATCTGTTCCCATCTACTACAGGAGGAAGCTTCTCTGGGGCTGACTGAGAAAGACACTGATCTTTAATGTCATTAGGAGTCATTTTATTGCTTTGTTCCTTGAACAATAGTATTTGGTTTTCCCCGAGGTCCCTGACCTATCTGGTCATCGGTTCTTGGCAAGCTGAGCTGCAGTGGGGTCGGATTCCATTTCACAGAGTGGGACTTGAATCCAATCGGGGGTTGGTGACTCCTGCTAGTTTTGTGCCCTATTGCACCTGTGTGTCTTTAGTCAAGTCTCTGTTGTAGATCAAAGGGTTTGTAGCTGGCTTGGTGTTTACCTTTCTCCTCTTAGTACCACGAACACTAGTCAGTAGATAGCGAAGGCTTTAAGTAATTATCCCTATTTCTTTTTTTTTATTATTTTAATTTTAAATAGCTTGCTTCACATGTCAATCCCAGTTCCCACTCCCTCCCCTCCTCCCCTTCTCCCCCCCCCCCAGCCTCACACCCTATCGATACTTCCTTCCACATAGGGGATATCTAGAGTCTGTCATTTCACTCAGGGCAGGGTCCAGGCACTCCCCTAAGAGTCCAGGCTGAGAGAGCATCCCTCTATGTGCTATGGGCACACGATGACTGTTTGTATTCCAGGGATAGACACTGATCTACTGCCCAGGGCCCCATAGGTTGCCTGGGCCTCCTCTATTTCTAATTAAGCCTTTATATCTAGTTCTAGGCAACTCAGTCTGTTGAAAATAGCAAAAGGGTCGCGTGGGGCTGGAGATATGGCTCAGTGGTTAAGAGTTCCCACTGCTCTTTCAAAGGATCTGAGTTCAGTTCTCAGCACCCAGGTGAGGCGCCTCGAAGCCTCCTGTAACTGTAGCTCCAGTGTGACCTGACACCTCTGTCCTCCACAGGCCCCGGAACTCTTCACATATCCACACAGAAACATGTGCACACAAACACGATAACAAATACATCTTTAGAAGAAAAAATGGTCATATGGGAGATGATCATGACAGATAAAAGATACTTGGAGACCTGCCCTCTGTAAGAAAGCCCCTGTCTCGATTGTGTAGGTACAGTTTTGCAGAAGAGCGTGGTTAGTTTGTTGACTGGCATGCCGCATCTCCTTGCCTCTTGTGAATCATGTAGGTGGCTTGGGATTCCGGCATCTCTCTCCACATTCCTTGTTCCTTGCCTGCCCTTCTTGCCTTCACTGTAACCCTAGAGGGGCAAGCCAGGAGCTCAACACAGAGCTTGTCATGGATCCTGAGGGGTGGTGAGACTAAGTGCTGTGATAAAAACCAGACAATTTTGTGACCAATAATAGTGGTTAAAGTTACATGTGCTGAGATAAAAGGTAATCAAATTTCATGCTCTAATGATGGGGAATCAGGTGCTGTTCTGAGCGGGGCTGTGCTGCAGGAGTCCATAACAAAATTTCCCCTAACTGTGTACAGAATATTAATAGCTGATTAGAGCTGTCTCTATCAAATAGAGGTATTTCTAATGGGAACAGTGGTCCAACATACAAACTTCATTTAGTCAGGCTCTTCTACTTAAAATCCAGAACTTGAGTACGTGTGTGTCTCTCCAGAATCACTTCACTTACAGTCACAGTGTCAAGACCAGTCTGATTTCCTTTTGCAAATTTTATATGGATGATGCTTTAGTGAACAGGGGATGAGTCAAATCCAAGTTAGCGGCAGATAAATATGCTGACACCACTAGATGAATATTAAGGTGCAACAACAGTTGAAATATTTAATAGACTGTATTCACAAAGATCAGCATTTGTGTCTTTTCTTTTCTATCTCATTTTCCCTTCCTACTCCCTGGTCCCTTTGAGAATATTGTGAATCCTCAGGATTCTCTTTGAAGGAAGATACAGGCATGGAAAAGATTATCCACACTTTCAGAGGGCTCCTGCCAGCTTCTTGAGGGTGGTCCGCTATGTCTTACAAGAGTAGTCATGGTCATAGTTCTTCTGCAGTGTGACTTGTTGCTGTCTCACCAAGAGAAGGAGTCTTCTCTTGCTTCCAGGTACTCCCAAATAATTTGCTAACCCCAGGGAAGGCTGCAGAAGTGATATTCTGGTGGATGGGGTGGGTGGGTGGTGAGTTGGATCAACAGGCACTTGCTGCCAAGCTTGAAAACTGAGTCTGATCCTAGGACCGAAGTAATAGAAGGAGAGAACCTACTCTCTCTCTCTCTCTCTCTCTCTCTCTCTCTCTCTCTCTCTCTCTCTCTCTCTCTGTCTCTGTCTCTGTCTCTGTCTCTGTCTCTCTGTCTCTCTGTCTCTCTGTCTCTCTCTCCCTCCCTTTCTCCCTCTCTCTGTCTCCTTCTCCCTCCCCCTCCCTCCCTCCATCCCTTCCTCCCTTCCTCTCCCACACACAAATATAATAAAAACACTTTTTTAAAAGTGGTAGTTTGTGACTCTCAGGCTTGGAGGATAAAAAGACTTGAATAAATATGGAATAATTTATGGGATTTTTAGATCCCCTCATTCTTGGTCCATGCCGCACTATGAACACAGCTGCCACACTGTAAAGGTTGTAATCTCAAGAGAGAAAACATGCCCTGTGGTTGGTACACTCACAGTTCACAGATGTCATTGAGTTACATGGGGGACAGACTCACAGCCAGCCAGTGGAGCCAGCAGAGGACTTTGACCCAGCCAACATCTGACTACAGCTGCTGGAAGGAGTCTAGTCAAGAATTTCTCATCTCAGTGGAGTTAACACAGGACCATGAGAGCTAACACCCAGTTGTTGTTTTAATACACAGTGCTTGGGGATGGTTTACTACAGAGAAATAGAACCATAGCATCCTTCCACCCGTGCTCAGAACCCCACTCCTCATGATCTATCGAAAAATAAAAAAAGGGAATAAATTTCAGCTAAAAAGTCTTAAGACCAAATGCCCTCCCCTCTCCTCTTCTCCCTTCTCTTCCCTCTCTTCATCCGTTTATACGTTAGCTAATATGTCACTTGTGTCAATACTTCCAATCTCCTTCTCCCTCACCAGAAAACATGGAGGAAAAAAAGTTTGGAAACACTGTCTCATATACTTTGACCCAGAATATTGTACTTTTACATATGTTGTCTTTAGAGATCAGTGGTTGGTTTAGGTAGAGATTTACCTATAAGGGTGTTTGTTTTAATATTACATTTAGTAGGAAGAAACTGAAAATAACCTAAATGAATATCAATGTGAGTTTTAAATGATGGAGTTCCCATGTTTTTGAAATACATTGCAAAATCTGTTCATATTATCATGACAAGATGTTCAGAATATATTGTTACTTTTAAAAATATCAAACTGTAGGAACTATGGCTCAGTGAGTAGGGTGTTTGATGGGAAAGCATAGTGACCTGAGATGGATTCTCAGCAGCTGCATAAAAAGGTGAGTTTGGCAGCGTGTGCCTGTACCCCAGCACGGGGGATGAGGGAGTCAGACACAGGCAGGTTCTGGGGGCTCATTAGCTATCCTGTACCCCAGCACTGGGGGTGAGGGAGTCAGACACAGGCAGGTTCTGGGGGCTCAGTGACCAGTCAGTCTAGTTAAAGGGAGAGTTTCAGGCTTAGTGAATGACCCTGTCTCACAAAATAACATTGAGAATATTAGAGGAAAACACACAAATATGACTTATAGCCTCCATATATATGTATGGGTATATGCATCTGCACACATGTGCATACACGTGCATAACCATACATACATATTAAAATTTAAAACACTAGGCATAATAGAATATTTTAATAAACAATGACATATATATGTATATGAGAAACAACATGCCCGTACACACACACACACACACACACACACACACACACACACACACAACTCTAGAATTATGTATCATGCTGTCAATGAGGTACATCTAGGAAGGGGGTGGCTTTCAGTTTCTGTCTCTAACACTTTAATTGTGTACTGAAAAATAATATTAGGCATTTGGCCCTTATTTAAGCTGAAATTTTCTGGGAAAGCAGGTGCCCACCCTCACCTGCAAGATGGTCATTCAGTGGTGATGTGTTAATCTGAATATTGCAATCATTTTACAGTGTATGCATACA